ATACTATTGAAGTCGATGGGGAACATCAACTGTTTGATAACCAGCATTCTTCAAAATATCTTCTTTTATGTTCAACAACTCAATTTTAAACTCAAAGAAATTCATACAGGTTTGGAACGACATGAGGGTGAGTAAATGATGACAAAATGTTCATTTTTGGGTGAACTATTCCTTTAACTCAATGTCAGAGCTAAATCTACTCTGAAAGTCCTCCTCCATGCCTAGAGTAGAGCCATATATGACCTACATAAAATATTTCAGATAATTAAACTATTTCTGTTTTTTTTTTTCAACCATGAGTGTTCATGTGTGTTTGCTGCATCTCATACAAGACTGTCAAAGTGTTGAACTAGTTGGTTTGGTTGGTGAATGTCATTACCTGCTGTACTATGGTAGTGAGTTCCAGGCACAGCTGGATCACGTTGTTCCTGGTCACGGAATAATCTGCTACGGCAGCAAATGGTGACCTGCAAAAGAAGTAACACCTGGAATTAACCATTAGATTATTCTTAGAGCCAGACCCACAAGATGGACAATTTGAGTGTGTTTGCAAATTGTAGATGTGTATATGTTATCCCTATTGACCGTCAATGTACTCTAGACCCAGTTTCTCACTTCCTGTGAGTGACGAAGTGAATGTGGGTCGTGTGTATTGAGGCTGTGTGCTATATATACAGGGCTGTAGGAACATTGGTTCATCGTTTCCATCCTGTCTCTAAATATTCCTCTAAGACCGCTGGGAACACCAGCTGACGCACGCCCAGAAGCCCCTCACAATTTAAGAAACTCTAACAATCTTTCACCGCTGGGCTAAATATCATTCATTCAAAGACCTCACAAGCACTCTTATACCACCCGAACACACTAAACTCGCTTTCCTAAACAGGATTTGGGATGCAGCTCTCAGCGAATACCAAATTCCCCTTCAAAACTCCGCTCCTAAATGTCAGCGGCTTCACTTGACTCCCAAATATCACTTTGCGGCAGATAAGTACACCGACAGCATCTGACCTCGGTTCAAGGACACCTGTCAGCAGGCATGGACGCAGTGGTCAGAGACTTCACGAGAAATGTCTGGAAAAAACCTGAGGGGATGGAGAAGGAGAATGGGAGGGAGAGAAAAGACTAAACGTGAGAGAAAAGATAGCAAGAAGTTCAAAACCAAGTCATCCAAGTAGACTGAGAGATGCTAAAATCTATGCAGCTCATTCAATTCTCTCCAGGACTGAGTAGACTTCATTACATCCAACCTTTGCTCTTTTGAAGCATTTGAGCACATGCCACCATCTGGACACGACGGCTCCAGGCTGACAGGAAATCCATCAGTTGGGTAAAAAAGACCACTACCATCTCCTCATGGCCAGGCCTTAAAGTTTCACCCCATCCTGCTCCAGTTTTTCAATCAATGTGTGAGAGTCTGAGAGCTGGTGTGTGCTTGTAATTGCTTACGCGCTGCTGTCTATCTTCATTTCAAAGATCCTTTTACATACGGAGAGAGAATCAGAATACTTTCAGCTCCCATCTGAACAAATCAATGAAAACGCATTAGCACTATTAATGTCAGGGCATTTACATTTATGCATCTGGCAGATGCTCTTCTCTAAAGTGACTTACATTGCATTCAAGGTACACATTTATGCAGTTCACAATCTCCCTAGGAATCAAACCCACGACCTTGGTGTCACTATAGTGCCATGCTCTATAGTTTGAGCGTCAAGAAAGAGTTAAGAACCTTTATCTAAGAAACAATGATCACACCATTACAAGATAATCTATAGGCAGTGATGCACTATTCAAGAAATAAGTTAATATATTTAATATATTTATATATTATATATAAAATATAATTATAATATATTTATATTTATAGAACCCCATCACTTTTTTTTTTTTTACATATATATGTATATAATGTTGTGATACCTAAATTTACTACCATTTAAATTAATCAATTTATTTCTAGTGTTTTATTTTGAATTTTAAAATAACCGAATTTTAAAGTTACTCAGTATTATTCAGTATTAAATGAATATTCAGTCCTGAATTTGAAGAAGAATGAATGTGAAAACAGCTGTTTTGAGTTAAATATAAGACAAAAACTTTAGGGCTTAGTTAGTGTAGATGCCAAATTTAAAGTGGCACAAATGAAAATGAGGCTTTGAGGAATAGAAGCACAGTGTGTTCGTTACACCTGGAGGTTGAACATTCAGTCTTCTCACAAATTTCAAATGGGGAAAAAAGACATCAATGTTCAGTTGCCTGAATTATCAACAGTCAATATGGCTTGTACTCTGACTATGATCTATTATGCCTCTTAATGTAAGTGACGGAACTTCCTTTGCATTCCAATAAGCCCCTCCCACCTGGAGCTCCACCCACAGTGAATGAGAATGAGGGAAAGCCCACTACAAACCCAAGAGAAGCAGCCAGATACCATTAAAATGATGATCACCGACTTGGCAAGTGGCAGAGGAGAGCCGGTGTCAGGCTGGATGGATATCAACCAATAACACTTAAGGGACGGAGACTCTCAAGTCAGTCATAATGTCTCTTGGCTTCAGATCCATTCACCTGCGTTAGTGTAACTCCATTCCTCCCTCTCTCTCAGAGTTCCTTCTGTTCTTCCACTATGTCTGCAGGGGAGACGACAGCTCTACTGGGGACTCTTTTGGCAGAGAAGAGAGGCCGGGGAGTGTAATTAGGCCAGCATTAATGAACGAGGGGAATGAGGCACCCCTCCCAACTGGTGGCCTTGTTCCTACAGCGTACGTTCCTGATTATGGACACTGAAACTCCGAAACCTCCCTAACCCAAACACTGACTGGCTACAAGTTCACCTTAGTCAGCAAGCTGATGTGGATAAGTCCTCTCAGCTTGATCCCAATCCAGACTGTGCCAATGTGAACTGTGTGTGATATGGATGGCTCTCAGCTCCAGGATCAGCGGGGTGGCGGGTGCCCGGGCACAGCAATAGAGAGATGGCATTCTCAGCAGGGTGAAGCTGAGAGGATATCAAATGCCGTCTGATGGAAAGGGTCCTACTGTGCGGTGCTGTCCCAGTCCAGAGCTTTAAGCCAGGCTCAGTACCAGAGGGAGTTGGACCGAATCAAGCAGCTGGGTGCCAAATGGATCATTCAGCACAAACCACTTGCCTGATTTACCTTCATTTCGAGATGGAAAGGTACAAATACTGCAACACTAGAGTCTATGACTTAAGTGTCTTATGAGGTGTTTAATACTGACAGTGATTTGCAGCAACAAAGTGACGGGAAACAATTAATTTGCAATGAGAGCTGGAGAAATTTCTAGCAAATGAGAAGTGTACAACAACAACAACAAATTTGTGTACTCTCAGCTTTGTTTAACACATCTTACCATGTCAGATCTCAGTAATATATATATATATATATATATATATATACATACACATACATACATATAAACAATAGTATATATAAAATATAAACAAATATAACATATATAAGAAATATATAATAATATATAACAATTATACAACTATTAAACATGAAACAAAAAAAATACCAATCAAATTCTAATCAGTTAAATATTTATCAGTATGTAACAGCAAACAAAAAGTGACGTTTTATTGCTTGTAGCTTGGTTTTTTTTACATCTGTGTTTGCTCTCCATCTTCTTTCTTTACCTTTCCGTGTAAGATCTCAGCAATATATATATATATATATATATATATATATATATACTGTATATACTGTATATATATTCTGCTGGCCATTCTTTTAATTGCTGTGCCATTATTTGCTACAACAAATAAAATATATTTTTAATTTTAGTAATGCATTTGTGACCCTGGACCACAAAACCAGTCATAAGGATAAGGGTCATTTTTTTTAAATTGAGATTTATACATTATCTGATAAATAAATAATCTTTCCATTGATGTATGGTTTGTTAGTATAGGTCAATATTTGGCTGAGATACAACTTTTGATTGATGAACTTTTTCAACATTTGAAAATCTGGAATCTGAGGGTGCAAAATATTGAGAAAATCGCTTTTAAAGTTGTCCAAATGAAGTTCTTATTAATCCATATTACTAATCAAAAATTAAGTTTTAATATATTTATGGTAGGAAATTTACAAAATATCTTCATGGAACATGATCTTTACTTAATATCCAAATGATTTTTGGCATAAAAGAAAAATCGATAATTTTGAACCATACAATGTATTGTTGGCTATTGCTACAAGTATACCCATGCTACTTATGACTGGTTTTGTGGTCCAGGGTCACATTTTTCTTTTTGCTATAATGATTTATATTTTTTCATTAATTGTACTTTTTAACTGTGAACAAGCTGGAATTTATACAGCTACAATCTGACAAATTTATACACATTTTTTTTTTAAATTTAAAACAACGGAATATGATGCAAAACATTACTGTTTGTTCTTACTGATGCTTTCAAGTCTATAATTTTTTTTTTTTTGCTAATTCGACAAAATAACCTTTACATTAGCCAGTTAGACAACATTATCTTGATGACAAATCATCAAAATTTGCAATAATGTACAATATATGATAGAAAAGTGAGTGGTTTTTGGTGAAGAGCAAATAGTTCTTGAAACATCTAGAATAAAAAAAATAACTGTTGATAATTTATCTATCTATATTGACACTCAAGCTTCTTTTAATAAGATAGATAGATAGATAGATAGATAGATAGATAGATAGGCAGCCTTCAAATATTGTGTTGGACAGTGGGGGGGCTTTTGAGTCAAAAAGGTTGAGATCCACTGACATAGAGAATCGATGGATGTGAAATTTTCAGTGAAAACATAATTTCTACAGATTTTTCCTCACAAAAAGCACCAAAATTCTATGTGGACCTGCTTGTGAGAAAAAATTACAACCGCTGGACAGAAATGTTCAATTTCTCACTTTCCTTACATATCGCTCTCTCTGAAACATTGCTCATCAATACATCATAAAGAAATCACAATCTAAAGACAACTGTACATTAACAGAAGCCATGTGGTTAAAACCTTGAACAGAAAGAAGCTGAGTTACAGAGAGAGACAGAGTCTGTTTTATATAATACCTCTTCACTCATGTACCTGATTGCTGAGGGGAGGAACACAAATCAACATGATTGAATTTGAGCAGACAAAAGCTGACCACGCACACACCACACAAGAGACCCCAAGTCTGTAATTTCTGCCCACCCTGCCACACAAAGTGTCACTCCAATTCGCAGTGCCATCCCTTGACTGGAGGGAAGACCGTGCATGACATGATTTACACAAACAGGAAATGTTCCTGGATCAACACCCTCTGCTGTTCCTGGAATAACACTCCAGGAATCACAGCCGCATCTCTGAACCTAAGCCCAAAATCAATGGCCCGGGAAGGAACAACAAAGGATGCTGATGCAGGAATACATCTTAAATCCATACTAATCCATAAAAACCAAGACTAAAACTCTCATAATTACATTATGTACAGTTTTGGTCAGTAAGACTTTATGTTTTTGAAAATAGTCTCTTATGCTCATCAAGGCTGCATTTATTTGATAAAAAAAAAACAGAAATATTATGAAATATTTTTATAATATAAAATAACAGTATAAAATAACTATTTGAGAGTATGTCATTTATTCCTGTGATGCCAAGCTGAATTTTCAGCATCATTAATCCAGTCTTCAGTGTCACGTGATCCTTTAGAAATCATTCTAATATGATGATTTGCTGCTCAAGAAACATTTCTAATTATTATGAATTTTGAAAACAGTTGTGCTGCTTAATACGTTTGTGGAAAAGAGTATAGATTTTTTCATGAATATAACGTTCAAAAGAACAGCATTTATTTGAAATAGAAATCTTATAACATTAAAAATGTCTTTACTGTCACTTTTGATCAATTTAACGCATCTTAGCTGAATATTTTGTACTACTTTTGTAGTATTCAAGATCTAATTACTCAAATATATAAATGTCAGATTAATCAATTAATCTCAGTCAGTTGCTCACGTCACAACAGCATTCATCTGACTATCAACAACGAAAGATGATAAGACTCTGGAGCTCAGAATAAGCCCACTATTAACCTTTAAGGTCATTCTTTAAATCTTTATTTGATATCATACCATTTCTAAGGAAGAGGGCACTGAATTTGGCTATACTCCAACAAGTAAGGCTTTAAAACCTTGACACATCAAGGCGGTTGAATTTTAATAAATTAAATCGAATCTGTGTTTATTTATGTTAAGTATGTATTAAATCATGTATTGATTTGGTGTGTATGTGGCTCTTAGCAGGACTAACCTATCCAGCCAGGCCAGAAGGCTCTTAGCAGCAGCGATGAGGTCCACCACAGATGTGAGGAAATCGTTGGGCAGTTTGCGGGTCGTCCGGCCATCGTAATGACCGCTGCGTCTGCGGCCCGTGATGAAGTTCTGCAGGTTTTTGGCAGAGGCATTGAGCTTATGAGAGAGAGTTTTCAGGTTTTCAGTCTCCAGCCCGTAGTTCTGTCAAACAGAGATAAAGACTATGAAATGTTTTAGTGACAATACTGGTTGGCAAACAATTGCAGGAATGACTCAATCAGAATTGCTTTTCGTTTCCCCACTATTCTGTCTCCATTTTAGATTTACAATTCTCCTCTCTCTGTTTTCAATTTTAGTTTTATTGCGCTTTATTGGCATGGCAGAAGTTGTAAATTTGTAATTGTGCAAACTGCGCAAGTAAAACTAGAAAAGGAAAGTTTGTTACAACAAATTCTGAATGTTAATTGCCTGAAGAAAATATTGTTTTAAATTAATTTAATATTCATATTAATAATTATTTTAATAGGATAAAATAAAATAAATACAATTTTATATGAATATAATATATTTTAAAAGTTAAAATAAAATAAAATAAAGTAAAATTCAATTCAATAAAATTGGTTAGGTTACATTAAAGATGAAGAATAAATTGTAATTGATTACAGTGAGCATAAATTTATTAATATAGACACAGGCACAAAGCACATATTTCACTGGCAGAGACTCTCTCTCTCCCTCTCTCTCTCTCTCTCTCTCTCTCTCTCTCTCTCTCTCTCTAACTCACACCCTCAAGATCACTCAGATCCCAAATGAATATTCAGCACCTGGCAGAGAGAGAGAAAGAGTGAGTGCTTCATATGCAGAGGTGCGTTGAGTGGGTGGAGACAGAACATAAAGTTCAGGCTATGAATAATGCACTGAGAGTCTCTGCTGCCAGCTGATAGGAGCTTACACACGCCACGCTCCGCACTGAGATAACGCAATCAGCTCAGACAAATCTGCATATCTAAATCTGACAAAAAACATGTCAGAACAAAGCCAAAAAGCAAACTTTAGATTTCACATATGCACGTTTACTTTTATAGGCCTCTTTGGCGTATCTTAAATCGAAACTGCTGATGTCTGTGTTTGTGTCAGAGTGAGGTCGCAGCAGGTGCCTTTGGCAGAGAACCAAATTACCTTGTTCCTGCATAAATAGCACTGATCAAGGGGCAGAGACTGATCAAACGCAGCATTATGCACATACATTCAAGAGCACAAACACAAATTTGTCTTTCAATCTATTGACTTTTAACTCTAACTGTAACCCTCACAGAAATCCTTTTTTGCATTATTAGAAGGTGATGTATACGGTGACCGGGAGGGGACATGTTCGGTTCAACTCGTGGGAACGTGATATGCCGTGGCCACAAGATCATTTTGTCGAGGTAATAACATCCTTATGCTGTGGCCACAGCATCGTGTTCCCACGAATTGGAAGATGACTCAATGATATATAATTGTTTTAAATGTTCTTAGTTTGTTTGTGTTGTGTAAATCTGTGATGAAACTGATTGTATTGCTGACCATTTTGGCCAGGACACTCCTATGAAAGAGATTTTAGTCTTTTCTGGTTAAACAAAGGTTAAATAAAAAAAATAAAAAAATAAAAAGATGTGAAGTCGTGGCCTCAAGATCATATGTTGAGGGAACAACATCCTTTTCTCGTGGCCACGAGTTCAATGCGTAAACAAACCTGCATCACCATAGCAACCTGGGATTATCAGAGATGGATAAAACATTTTTATCCATCCCACAGTCTTGTAAATCCATTAACTGATTGTGTCTTTATACGATCAATAATTTGCCTGATAATTAATAGTTATTTAATTTTATATATACACATTTTATTTCTGATATAAATAAAAATATCATCTGAAAGCTGAATAAATTTGAATAAATTTGAATATCTGGAATCTGAGGGTGCAAAAAAATCGAAATATTGAGAAAATCGCCTTTACAGTTGTACAAATGAAGTTCTTAGTCATGCATATTACTAATCAAAAATTAAGTTGATAATTTTGCCCTATTCAATGTATTGTTGGCTATTGCTACAAATATGCTACTTATAAATGGTTATGTGGTCCAGGGTCACATATATATATATATATATATATATATATATATTATATAATAAAAATTATGTGTGTGTATATATTGATAAACAGTAATGTTATATTATAGAAAGTATATATATAAGATATATTATAATATTGAAATACATAATTATTTTTCTAATCCTATCTGAATAAGCACAACAGCATACATTGTTATTATTTGAAGAAATAATGAAAAGAAATATGTAATATTTTATCATTTAATGTAGAATTTTCCTGATAAATAATAGTTATATAATTTGATTTATTGAAATTTAATTTCTGATATAAACAAAAATATAACATTAAAATTAAAACATTAAATATAAAATTATGACATTAATATTTATCAATTAAAATAAACATTGTGTCTGTGTGATAAATAATAATATACACATTTTTATATATATTAGTGCTGTCAAAAGATTAATTGATTTTTCCGTACTGCTGGTTCGTCTGGTCAGAGGAGAACTGGCCCCCCGACTGAGCCTGGTTTCTCCCAAGGTTTTTTCTCCATTCTGTCACCAATGGAGTTTTGGTTCCTTGCCGCTGTCGCCTCTGGCTTGCTTAGTTGGGGACACTTCATTTCCAGCGATACCGTCGACTTGATTGCAAAGATACTATTTAAACTGAGCTGGATGTTTACATCACTGAATTCAATGATGAACTGTCTTTAACTGAAAAATTTGTGTTTACTATTGTCATTTACTATTGTCTAATTAATGCTGTTCAGTTGCTTTGACACAATCTGTATTGTTAAAAGCGCTATATAAATAAAGGTGACTTGACTTGACTTGACTTGACTTATTTTGTGTTGTTATATAAATATATAAAATAACAGTCACCATTTATTACCATTATTTTTTATAAAGAGTTGCTCATAAAATATGTTAATGGATTAATAAACACAAAACGTCTTATTTAAAACATACAAATGGAGAAAGGTATCTGTGAGGGCTGTTTAGGGGCTGAAGAAAACGTGTGTGTGTGTGTGTGTGTGTGTGCGCGCGTTTTTGTGACAAATGAGGACATAAATTTGTATAATGACAAAGGTATGACATAGGTATTACAAGGAGAAGGTGACTTTTCAGGACATTACCCCATGTCCCCACTTTTCAAAACGCTTATAAATCACACAGAATGGAGTGTATTGAAAATCTGAAATAGCACAAAGTTTCCTGTAAGGGGTAGGTTTAGGGGTAGGGTTGGTGTAGGGCAATAGAATATACGGTCTGTACAGTATAAAAACCATTACACCTATGGGATGTCCCCACTTTTCACAAAAACAAACCTGAGTGTGTGTGTGTGTGTGTGTGTGTGTGTGTGTGTGTGTGTGTGTGTGTGTGCGTGCGTGCGTGCGTGCGTGCGTGTGTGTGCACGTAAAGTGTGTATCAGTATCTCCTCTCACATCAGTAGGAGATCGATGAGAGTAATGTGCTCCATCTTGTCCGAAGAACAAATCCCACACACACTCACTCACAAAGTACAAGTACAGGTAATAAACACACACCTGGAACACTAAAACAGGTTTGTACAACACACACAGACACACAAAAGACACATTAATCAGCTTGTGAGGGGAGGTAGACTTGGGGAGCAGACGATGTGGGGGGGATCGACGCTCAGAATCCTCCATGCTAATCTATTTAGAAGCTCTCTGCATGAATGCAGCAGATAACACACACCACAATGACAGAAAGATAAAGCAATATGGAGGGGAAGAGCGAGATAAACAAATAAGTGAGAGAATGACAGCCTTTGAGAGTTTAGAGAGGCGGGAAAGGAGAGAGTGGGCCGCTCTGTGTCTCTGAGGTCAATATGCTGTCAAACAATAAGGACTCAACAGTTCTCTGGCTTCCATCAATATTTGTGCGAATTTGTGTCTGTGATGGTTTCAAAGACAACTAACAGTGGGGAAACGGTACCTTAGTGAATTAATACCATGCTCACAAGACAATGCCGCAGGATGCTTCATTGTTTACAGTGTTGAAGTAATTTTCTCTCAGCGAGTTTTTGTTTTGAATAAGAAAGTTTGTGGCATTGTTCTTTCCTGCACATTTTTTCTCTAAAATTAAAATTCTGTCATTATTTACTCACCATCTTATTGTTTCAAACCTGCTTCATCAAGTCTTGACCAGTGTTATTTTAGTATTAATTTGATACTATTACAGTATTTATTAATATTTTGATTTGTAAAAAATATTTTTACGTTTTCAGTTTCATTTTATTTTTTAGTAAATTTGTTAAATTTTTGTCATTTTTTATATATTTTTTTTCCCCACTTTTTTCAGTTATACTAATTTTCATACTTCAGCTTACTTATTTTAAGTTTTTTTTGTTTTTAATTTAATATTTATATTTTATTTTATTTAGCTTTATATTTAGCTTTATTTCAAAAATGAAAATTAATATAATAGTTATACAGTTAGCAATATACTGTACTGGCCTTGACATGCCATATGTAAATGTCCATACTGTAAGTACAATTTGTTGTACTATTTGTTGATCGGTATTCAGTAACACTAACTTCAACGTGAACAAATTCAACACACAGATTTCAAATAGTGTTTTCTTTTCATCTTTCAGTGATTAAAAGTTAAATTCTGAATTTCTAATAAGTTTAAATTGGAAATGAAATGCTGCAAATGAGATCTGAGAGCAAAACATTTCAGGGACAGTGACCTTTAAATTAAAATTCTATCATTTGGTCACCCTCGTGTTGTTGCAAACAAGTTTGACTTTTTCTTCTGTGGAATATAAAATAAGATATTTTAATAAATGTATGATTTGTTTGTTTGTTTACAAAAAAACAGCTTGGTTACCAACATCATCTTTTGTGTTTTGCAGAAGAACGAAAGTCATACAGGATTGGAACGACATGAAGAAGAGAAAAGAGCAGCAGGAACATTCTGCAAAATATCTCATTTTGTGCTCCAAGAAATATAATCAGAGAATCTGAATTTTTTCACTGAATGATTCCTTTAAATTAAAAAGCGGCTTTCAAACTGTACAGCTGAGGCAGCTTTTATATGAATGTACAATATGTCTAATTTCATACGCACGTGTCTACAGGCTGACATTCACAAGGGCTGTGTAACGTGAATGTCATCAGCTCTGATTTGGGATCAGTGTTCAGAGCAGATAGAGAGCACAGCAAACTCATCTATTTATGATTAATGCTCTCCTAAATGTCAGCAGCACAGGCCAGTGGTTCACAGTCCCTCACAAAACCTCACACTCATTATAGTTCACCTAATGTTAACTCTACACTGAAATTCAGTCTCAGGAAAAGACAACAAGAAACATATCTCTTAGAAAGACAAGTTGAAGTGAAGATAGATAAAAAGAGCAAAAGGACAGGTCGAGGAGAGACTCAGGCTGGGCGGCACGTGAGACAGCTCACACGGATGCGCTAAACATCATCCTGTCGTCTGTTCCCTCCCGTCATGATGCTGACATTCTGAAAGCGTGGGCTGGGAAGTCATTGTTTTAATTCGAGAGAGAGGAAGAGGAAGAGAGAGAGAGAATTAGATGGAAAGCTAGTTATTAAATGCTAGATAATGTAAAAGGCTCAAGCGGTGCAGAGTAAATTTCAGCTTAAATCCTTTTCCCATCTCCCACACTGTCTGTACTCTTGGTACCTTTTTGAAAATCATTTTCAAGCCGTGGAACGTCACACAGCAATAAAAATTTGTCAAGACACACATACGCACACGCACACAGAGCAGATACAGATTAAGGCCACAGGAACAAATCCACCTAGCAAAAAGCCACATTTAAATACTGACTGAGTGGCATTTTGAGAACAAATCTGTGGAAATCTTTCCTAGGAGAGCAATATTATTATCTTATAAAATTGAGGCTGACTTTTAAGAGAACATGCAATGACATTCGCAACTTATTTCACTTCTGTAAAGTGATGTTTTTCAAACGGAAACAGAATATTAATTTGACTGGATTTTGAAAAAGAGGCTCCAACATTTTCAATTGATTTATGGTAAATTTATTCATGTTTGTTAATACATATTTATTCATATTTTTTTTAATGATGTATATTATTATTGTTAATTTTAAGTTATAGATTTTTACATTGTTTACCTTTTATTATAATTACTTTTTCTTTTATTGCTTTTTTGTTTAAATTTATTCATATTATTTTAAATGTTTAATATTATTATTTTTTCTTCTTCTGATACCTGTATATTATGTGAAATAAGAAATAGGTAATTTTTTGCTTTATTATATTTTATATTTGTTCATATTATTTAAATGTTTTATATTTAGGGATGCACAATAAAATATTGGTATCGGTACTCGGTATCGGCAAGTACCAAAAATAAAAGTATCGGTATCGGGCGAGTACTGGAAAAAGTGGTATCGGTGCATCCCTATTTATATTATTATTTTTATTTTTAAGTTATTCGATTTTTACATTTTCTGCCTTTTTCATCCGATATATCGTACAAAATAAGATTATGTAAATTGATTATATATTTAAATAGAGCCATTGATTAGTTTTGTTTTATTTTATTTTATTGTGTTAACACTCATTCATATTATTTTAAATGTTTAATATAATTTTTTTAACTGTAAGTTATTTTTGTCCTTTTCTTCTGATATATTATGTGAAATAAGAAATAGGTAATTTTTTGTTTTATTAGTTTTTATACTTATTCATATTATTTAAATGTTTAATATTTTTATTTTAAGTAATTAATTGTTACTTTTGTCTTTTTCTTCTGATATGTTAAGCAAAATAAGACCATGTAAATTGATTAAATAAGTACATTGGCTAATTTTATTATTCGTTTTTCATATTTAATCATATCATTTATACTTTTATTATTATTATTATTTTTCATTTTCAGTTATTAGATTTTATTTTTTATTTTTTAACTTTTTTTGCCTTTTTTTCTTGATATATTGTGTGAAATCATGAGACCTGTCCAAGTCATTAAATAAGTAAATAGAGTCATTTTCAATTTCAACAGCTGTAGTCTTTTCAGAATGTGATATTGTTTTTCTCAAAGTGATCTTGATATCTTTGTCAACATCGTGCAGTAGGGGACGCAGTGTCCGCCAGCTGACGGGGTGTTGAACAGCAGATGAAGGATCAAGCGCATAAAGAAGCGTGAAGACTCTCACCAGAGCGCACAGCAGGTCCACAGCTTCCAGGATCAGCTCCTGGTGTCCGATGCGGGATACCCCCAGATCCTCCAGCTCCTGATGGGTGATCCTCAGCAGCTGGTCACCTCCTACCTTCTCCCGTTCAAAGTTCTTTATATACTGCTGCAAGCAGTCATCCAGACCTGTAGGAACATCAAGAAAATATCAGCAATCTAGGCTCATTTCTAATTTGTATCGGCAAAATTAGAACATCCCAAAGTATGTGGGATTTATGGTTAAAGTGCCCAAATGGTAGGGGATAGTGGGGGAAGATCTCCTCCATAAGACCAGTGTCTTATTACTACTATATTGGAACATTTAGAGATGAATTTAGGATGCACAAGATGATGATATATCATAAAAGTAATAATAAATGTATCTAATATTTCCCACACCCCTTTGCGTGAAGATAACTGGTAAATTAAGCATTGACCTGGTTTCTGTTAGAGAGCCCATGAGTCATGCAGATGGTGCTGAACATTTAATAATTGCTCATCAAAGCGATAACAGTGGACAAGTGCAAGGTTTATGAAATAAATATTTATGTATTTTCTGTTAATTAATTTGTAAAACCTTTCACTTGACCACTATTAATGGTTTAGGCAATAACAGAGTAATTTAGACTTCTGCATTGTCTAACACAGAAATGAATATTGCCATATACAGTACATAAACATAAACGTGCCCATTACTACACTGCATAGATCTCATACTGCGCAAACTAAGATTTATATCCACTTTGGTGTAATTGATTTAAAATCAGTAATAGTTCATGAAAATTTGCTGAAAATGTACTCACCCTCAGGCCATCCAAGATCTAGATGATTTTGTTTCTTCATCAAAACATATTTGGAGAAATTTAGCATTGCATCACTTGCTTACCAATGGTTTTTACTTTTAAACAGTGCTTTCTGTGCATATTTCTCTCCTGATTCAGAAGAGAAGACTTTTTTTCAAGCAATATTATGGATAAAGGATAAATATTTTAGCCGGAAGCAATGGTTTGATGCTAAAAACATCAAAATGATGGATTTGTTTCATACAAACATGCAGCTTTTTTCACTTTTCACAATATGTTAATTGATGGACTGGAGTTATTGTGGATTATCTATCCACTGATGAGCAAGTAATGTAATGCCAAATTTGTTCTGATGAAGAAACAAACTCATCTACATCTTGGATGGCCTGAGGGTCAGTACTTTTTCAGCAAATTTTCATTTTTGTGTAAAAAGCAGCGGTGATTGATAATGAATTATAATATAATCAGGTTTGTGCGTGCCAAATGTCTGTGCAGCACAAAATCTTAATAAATGCATCTGCTTTAGACTCTGTTTACCCCAAAATCAGTGACAACTAAGAAACGCAATGGATGCCACACTTATACATGATGACTGACAACCTGTATTCCACCCTAACTATGTCGCATATCCATCAAACTGACAGTAAATGAGAGCTAAGCCACATCGCAACCTTCCTATGTTTGAGCGAGAAGTACATTTGATGGAAAGGAAACATAACTGTCCAAAAAAGCTGCATGTAAATAGAATTTGTGATGGACAGAAACAGTTGGTTTAAATTAAACCATAACTTCAGCCATTTTGAGATCTATATCAGTCTAGAAAGCTCCGTGTCCAGAATAAAATCCATCCTAAATCAAATCAGAAATGATTGCTGCACCGTCTACAGTAATGCCTCTGAAAACCGATAGGATGCGCACATAAATCAAAATAATAAAGTTCCAGTCAGCTGTACAGGATAGATGCGGCTACGAAGACTATAAATACAGAGGAATAGACTAATAAAGAATGAGTGATCTAGAAAGCTTCGAAAACACCACCATTCACAACTGTCACCATCAAACAGGTGACGACACACACTCTCAGTAATGCTACACACTTGTTGGACTGCATTTGTCAGTCTTGGGCATTCTGTCGTCCAACGGCACATCTCACAGCAGCCGCGCTCTCCGAATAGCTGCTGTTCGACACAACGTACATAACTGCAGGATTTACATATTTTGCTTAAAGCATGTGCATGTGTTTATAATAGTGTATGGAAGAAGGAAGGTCGTCGGAACTCTTTTTAATCTCACTAGCTGCCCTTAAATAATTAAATCTAATGCAACTATCATCATCCAGCTCATTAACAGGAAGGGACAAAACCCATTGGCCAAGACAGGAAGAATAACAATAGCTGTCATTACTGTTCATAAACAATATCGGACTCATTAATGAGAGACTGCTTCACTTGTTAGATAATTAGTTGGTGATCTGAGGTCTGAATTTAACTTGGAAGGGACTGCTGAGGATGAGAATCTCAAAGCGAATGCGAGATGAATTCTGCTGATGCTGTGACTCTGATTCACATACTAGACAGGTGCAGTGAACAATTAACTGTTAGCTAATGTTGTTAATAATGATGTGTGGGCAACAGGATGAAGTGATTTAGAAAGAAAATAATGAAATAAAAGCAGAGAGAATGTGAAATCCCATTGTTAATCTTAAGAATATACCTGTGACAAGAATGGTCCCTTAAAAATTCTGTCTCAGGCCCCATCATGAATTCAAGCGATGACCCTTTACCAATACAGAAATTTTGGTTGATACTTATAGCCATTATTAATTTTTAAACTTTGGTTAAAAACCAAAATGTCTGCTATTATATTACAAATCTAAATCTTTTTTGTTGTTGGTTTTTTTTTACAGAAAATTAAGTAATAATTTTAAGGCACAAAAGGAAAATAATTAGAGACATTATAGGCTAATAGCACTAATTATTTATAAAATTGTGACCAAATCTATAGTATATTTCCTCTTTTAACCCTCATGTTCTGTTGAGATTGACTACTGTTCAAATTTTTACTTATGCTCACTAAGGCTGCATTTCTTTGATCAAAAATACAGTAAAAAAACAGTTATATAATAAACTATTATTACAATTTAAAATAACTGTTTTCCATTTTAACATAATTTAAAATATAATTTATTTATGGGATGGCAAAGCTGAATTTTCAGCATCATTACTCCAGTCTTCAGTGTCAAATGATCCTTCTGATAGCATTCTATTATGCTGATTTGCTGCTGATTTCTTACCATTTTCAATGTTGAATTGTCAGACTTTGTTCTGTGTTTTGTGTGTTTTGCTCCCCATGTGTTTCCATGCCATTATTTGGTCCTTCCTGTTCCTGTCCTAATTGTTTCCAATTTGTTCCAGGTGTGTCTAGTTATTATCCTCGTTACCTTTGTATTTAAGTTCCTGCCTGTTCAGTTTCCCTTTTGTCTGGTCTACTTGTTACGTGGATGTGTTTCCTGCTGTACATTGTTGATGTACCCTGTGTTCTATGGATTAAAGACTGTTTTCGTATATTCCTCGTCTCCTCGCTCCTTAGTTCCTGTTATCCTCGTGTGTGTGTGTGTCGTGACAGAAGACCAGACCAATAACAGAAAAGTAAGCGGCGCCCCCACTCCCCTTGTTTTATTTCCGTTTTAAAAGTTTTTTGTTTCCCGGTTTTCCTCTGCAGCAATGGAAGCGGCCGCTCAGTTCACCGCCCTAGCTCGTCTGGATCTCCCCTTCATTGAGTATTCCTGGGAGTTCTGCAGGCTCGCCGTGGCATCGGCTTTAGACGACGCCACGCTCAACTCGCTGTTCTGGCACGGGGCCAATTACCATCGCCCCATGGACCTCCCAGACACCACGGGACTAAGCTGGAGGGAAGGGACCCTCCGGTGTCTGGAGAGCGTCCGGCCCCGAGCCAGAACCAGCCCACCGGCCACGGCATCCTCAAGCCCGCCGGCTCCAGCCTGCCGGCCGCGGCTCTCTCCAGCCCACTCTCTCCAGCCGCAGCTCTCTCCAGCCCGACGGCCGCTCCGAAGTCAAGCCCGCCGGCCGTTTCGATGTCAAGCCCGCCGGACGCGGCTATCTCCAGCCCGCCGGCCGTTCCGATGTCAAGCCCGCTGGCAGCGGCTCTCTCCAGCCCTCTGGCCTTTCCTGTGGCAAGCTCGCCGGCCGCCCAATTCACCTCTAACCAAAAGAGGAGGATGAGGAGAAAGGGACTGTTCTCCGCCCTCATCCGAGCCCCAGAGCTCGCTCCAGTGTCGGCTCCAGCCCCAGCTCCTCGAAAGCGCCTTGCTTTGCCTGCTCCTCCAGAGCACCCTCCAGTGCCAGCCTCTCGTAAGCGCTTCACTGTTCCTGAGTATAGCCCATGGAGGGCTCCTGTTCCCGAGTATAGCCCACGGAGGGCTCCTGTTCCAGAGTATAGCCCAAGGAGGGCTCCTGTTCCTGAGTATAGCCCACGGAGGGCTCCTGTTCCCGAGTATAGCCCACGGAGGGCTCCTGGCCCCCAGTTAAGCCCAGGAAGGGTTCCTGATTCCTTGTTTAGCCCAGGAAGGGCTCCTGATCCCCAGTTAAGCCCATGGAGGGCTCCTGATTCCTCGTTTAGCCCAGGGAGGGCTCCTGATCCCCAGTTAAGCCCAGGGAGGGCTCCTGATTCCTCGTTTAGCTCAGGACGGGCTCCTGATCCCCAGTTCAGCCCAGGAAGGGCTCCGGATCTCCAGTTAAGCCCAGGGAGGGCTCCTGATTCCCAGTTCAGCCCAGAGTGGGCTCCTGTCCGTGCCGTGGTGGCCGAGCCGGCTAAGTTCACAGAGGCTCCGCCATGGCAACCTGAACTGCCTGCTCCGCCATGGCAACCCGAGCTCCCTGCTCCGCCATGCCCTCCCGAGACCCCTGCTCCGCCACGGCCTCCCGAGCTCCC